CTTTATAAAGTGTAGGCGTGTGAATAATTTTTTATTGTTGACTCTATAATAGAACTCATATGCATTTGTGGTTCTAAGCATTCCTATTATGAAAATGGAAGTCAGAAAAACTTTACATCTCTAAAATTTGAATGAACTAGAAAATGATTCATTTTTAAATTGTATGGAATGCTAGAAAATGTGAAACATCAGCAATTAGGGTTAGAGATGATGAAATTAAAATTTGGTTTGAATCTTGAGTATGACGTGGAAAAGTTTAAGACGATTGAGGTTACTTCATTCTTTATATGCATTTCCAACTAATTTAAGAGAGATACCATGTTAACTCCAATTAGATCAAAATACCAGGTTAGACATATATAATAATGACTCTAAAAGATAGTTTAAGTTGCTAAAAACCTATCATGTTATTCATATACGCGAACAATATATATCACGCTCACAAATTAAATCAAACTAGCAACCAACATCTTGGAATGACTAACCTTTTCCTTTATTTTCAGCTCTTTTGAGGTGGTAAACAAAATCTTGTTTCCTCATTTGATGTAAAAGCTAATCAGATTTTGCTTAAAGCCATAGACAATGGCAATCATACTCTTATCATAAGCAACCTAAGTGGCACATCTCCAAGAATTCAACAAAGTACCTTCACTTGTACTAAAAAGGTCATCCCATAATGATATAGCTAGAGAACATATAAAATAATGCTATAGCTTAGCTTCCTTTGCAAATTGGCAAAAATGGCAGAAAGTATAATTTGGTACAGAAATACCCTTTAGCTTCATGATAAAGGCTTGTGTAGTTCTGTTGCATTTGATAAATGGGATGCACCAGCACCAACCAATCTTGTGTAATGGCAGCTTTGGGTTGCTTAGAGTTAGAGAGAATATATGAACAGTATGAAGTAGTGCTGCTGTAAAGCGACGGGGAATCCTTTTCGAAGCAAACGTCTTCCAACCGATTTCAACATCCCACCTTATATTTTCTTTCTCTTTCCTTTCTTAATTTGCAATTTTTATATATGATTTTTTAAGTTTGGTTTTATTCACAATTTAGGCTATCAAAATCGTAAATCTCTTAACGGCTTACGGAATACTTTAGAAGATGATCGATAAGTATCTTTGCAAGTTCAAATTAGTATATTCTTGATGTGCATGAATTTGCTAAAAGTTCAGATGATCGATTTCTTAAGTTTGCAAGTTCAAATCCTTCTTGTTATGTTTGGATTTTGCTCCTTGCATGTTCACCCAAAACGAAAAAGAATGTTGAACTTTAAGTCCAAATCTTATCCAAAATGCCAAAAACAAAAGAAATATTGGCGCTCTTATTTTTTTTAAGAGAATAATAAAACTTGGCTTATTAGCATATGGTTGATTCACTGTTTATGGAAGTAATAGATGAATATTTTTAGAACTTCGAGTTTATCTAAACTTATTAAGTTCCAGGTTCTGATGAGCTTATTAAATAATTTGGACCAATATCGAGACTTCCAACTAAATTGGATCTTAGCTCTTAGTTTCCAGTAATTAAAAAATAATTAAATCCAAGTTCAAGTGATAATTTGAGGGTAAATCCAAGAACCATTGTCCCAACACATTAATTAAATTTAAACCCAGCTACTTAATTAAGTTAATTTGCCCTCCTGAAAGAAGCAGAGAGATGTCTAGCCCTCTTTCGTTGCCAAGGAATCGTAAAACTTAACGTGGGAGTACTCGATAATACCACGTGACACGTGGCCCTAGTGCCATGCAGACTTTTGCAGTTTCCACGTGAGTCGGAGCACCACAAGTCACATGATTAACCGACATGGTTAAGGTCCAACAATCATATCGTGCCACGTAACCGGGTTCTTAGATCTGATCACGTGCACTTGGCAACCTTTCCAGCCCAGCTTGTTACCTTTGGCTTGCCCTTTTTGTGTACAGACCAGGTTCTCATCATCAGCTTGAAGATTCTCATATTTGTTAAGTGCCTCTTCCTAATAGGATTATAAACTAAAAACCCTCACAAATCTCAAATCATGATTCATGAACCACGAGTAAAGAGGCTTTTTTATTTGTTTCAAATATCCCTCCAAAATTTATTTCTTCTATTCGAAGTTTTTCTTCCTCTCTTCTTTTTTTTTTTTTTTTTTTTTTTTCTCTTTATAAAATTTTCTTCAATATTACATAATCTTGGATAATATGAGAAATGAATGGTTGAAATTAAATATAAAGTATTTAAACAGTTCTGGAAATCAAATTTGAGAAGTGTTTGTGGTTTTCTATTCACTTAATCAGAATGGCGTGATAACTTTTATGTTATTAGGTTTAATCCTAATTAATTATATATATAGTTCAATAACACTAGAAACATCATTTTATTATAATTGTGTTTATATTATTTGTTTTGCATAAAGTCTAAGCATGGATTAATCAGTAGCTTAATTGGGGTGTAATATGTTGACGTAGACTTGTAGTACTAAGCTACAGGAAAAAATGACTTTCCAGACTAATTTGATTTTCTGTCGGCTAAATTGTTTGTTACGTCGACTAATCTTTGCCCGATGAAAGTACTTTCGTGCAAAATTCCAACCAACGATATCCATAGTTCGTGGTCATTTCCTTTGAAAAGTTATGAGTTTAGAATTATGTGTTGCAGGCCCCATTTCTTGTTCAAGATCACATAGGTTGAGAGAGTTAGAAAGTGTACAAGATGGTGGATTAATTAAGAGTAATTATCTACTAAAGGTAATCAAGGCCCTTAAGGCCAATTCTCAAAACAATATATAGTATAACCAAGTTTTAATTAAATTTATTATATAACATCTAATTATATGTATACTTAAAAAAATACATAATTGTATTGGGATATATAAATTGTAAAATATAATGACATATAGATTATAAAATATTAGAACATATTGAAAACTTGGTGAACAATCATATAATGCGTGTTCATCCTAGTATTTGATAAGTCTTTTACAATTTATTAAAAAAAATTTAAATGAAAGTTATCTATTTTATGTCTAAAGAGGATGCCTAGGTGGGCTAGGAGCCCTTTTTTAATTTTCAAATATCTATGAATTAATCGGAACTGTGGATCAGCCTGCCTAGCACCTAAAAAAAGTATATACGACTACTATGCGGAAATTTTAAGAACAGTGAGTATAATACATTTATTCATGCCCTTTCCTTAAACAACAAAAATAGTTTTAAATGCAATGGTTTTAAGAGGTAGGGGTTCTCCTTTTACATCTTCGATGTGGATTTTGTTGAATTTTCATGAGCTAGAAGTTCTTCTTGTGATATTAGATGATACGCAAACATTTTTGTAATAAACTCTCTAAGCATGTCGAATGTATTACTATCATAGATTGTACATTATTTAGTTGTTCAAACATCGTAAACGATTTTTAAGCACCACAAGTGCGGGTTTAAATATAAGAACTGTTGTTAATTACTTTTTTAACAATTTTGTAATAAACTCTCTAAACATGTCGACGTGCTCTTGCGAGTTGCGCGTCCTAAGCAAAGAAATGGAATCAAATGTTCGCCCTATCTTCGGCAATAAAAAAAAAAAATAAAAAAATGTTCGCCCTATCTCTCTAAGTACGTATTTGTCTACTTAACGTCCATGGTCAACTCTACTAAGGATCACTAGGTAGGATGCTTGTAACACTATACTTCTTGAAGAATAATACTTGCGTCTTCCTACAAGGGAATGCACATATCCCACTTCTTTTGAATAACGTATATTAATTGTATTTTATAGTTGAAACGTTCACTACTTAATCTTTGTTTGAAGATCATTCCTACTACAAAACATCTGAATCGAAGATCGTTTAGTAATTGAAATGTATAGAACAAATTGATGGTGTGAGTACCAAATAACATATTTATGATGAACCATCTATTTATTTGATATATTTGAATGACTAACCGATTTTTTTTTTTTTTTTTTTTTTTTTTGTAGATATGATTTTCAAATAAAGATTAAAAATTGAACGATTCTGGTTATAGAGTTTAGATGAAAAAGATAGTTATTCGCAAAAGGTGGGATATGTGCATTTGGCATTCCCCATAGGGGATCGCAAGTTTTATCGATTCTTGAATTATGCTAGTAAAGTTATTTACGCATACGTGTAGTCTGTACATTAGTTGGGAGTCAATCATGCACGTGTTGATGGTAGTAACACCATTAATCTAGATTATATTAGCTATATAATTATTCAACTATTGTTCAAATACTGTACCCAAACAGTCACTTATGGTTCAAACACTGTACCTAAACAATGGAGCAAAACTTTAATAGGACAAAAGAACCAAACCTAAGATCTAAAATACAGAAACAAATACTTTTAATTACTTAAATTACAAATCTTTTCTAATTTGATAACATAATATATATCATTCATTACGAAGATACAATTGCAAATCTTTAGAAAGTTTATAGAAAAAAGACTCTCATCTAGTTCAAAAGAAACCATCATACCGTCTCACAATGTGAAGTGTGAACCAAAACCCACATTTTCCCATGTGACAACCAGGGATGAGAACATGTCGACAGTCTGCATGGCCCTACTCCCACCCAATATATATGTGTAGTTGGCAGAGGAATAAACTATTAATAAGAACTCAAGCAAAATTGAGAGAGAAAGAAAACATATGTTGAAGGGTAATAATGTAATTTCAGGAACTGTTACTCAGGTCATTTAGTCTGCCAGGCACCGTTTGGTAATTTAGGTTTGGAGGCAGATTGTTTGCTTTTATACCCTTTCCATCCCCACCTATTTTATGAGATCATGATTAAGCTACATCAATATTTTATATTAATTTTTTTTATAAAAATAATAAAATAAAAAATAATATAAATATAAAATACTGACTTGATTTAACCGTGACCGCACAAATAAGAAAAGATGAAAAGAGCATCCAAACAAAAAAAGCAGACAATCTGCCTCCTTTGGGTTTAGGGTCATTTAGTCTGACAGGTACTGTTGGTCATTTAGTCTCTCTTCTGTTCAACGTCCCTTGCCTGCAAAGTAGAGTTTCTAGAGAGAGAAACTAGAAGAGAGAGAAGAGAGAACTAGAAGAGAGGAGAGCAAAAGGATAAAGAAAGGAACAATACAGATGACAAATTGATAAACAGAGCTCTCTACTTTCTTCCATATACTGCCTTCAAATCTTGTACCCCAAAAAAGCTCACTTTCGAAAAAGTGCTTCTTCTTCTTCTTCCACATTCTTTCATGGGTTTTGCTTCAAAAAGCTGATTGCTTTGGAAGCAGAAGAGAATTGGGGAAGAAGAAGAAGAAGATGTCTTGGAAAAGCAGAGGAGACCCATCATCTTCTAGAAGTTTTATTTCTCAGAAATGGACCCTTTTTCTCTGTTTAAGCTGCTTCTGTGCCGGAATGCTCTTCACCAATAGGTACTGTTTCTTATGAACAATTTTTATTTATTTATTTTTTAAATTCACTTTGTTTGAATTGTTGGAAATTATTCAATCAACCAGTTCTTTGTACTTGTTTCTGTAATGGGTTCGAGACTCAATTGAAAAGTTTTATTAAAAAAATTTCTATTTATATCATGAACAAATGGTCGTTATTGGTTTTGATGCTGGATTTGATGGGTAGTGCTATTCACAAATCCCTTTTTACCTTCCACAAAGCCTTGTCCGTTTTTGTCCATTGATCTTTCTTCAATCCTTCAATTCGTATTGTAAAAATAAGTGTGTGTATAGCACCATCCTTTTATATTTGATAAATTTGTGTTTTTCTGGTTTTAATCAGTTGGATGATTCTGAAATTCCAGGCTTTTATATGGTTAATTATTTTCTGAATTTGATTGAACATGCATGAATTTTTAAGGATGAAACTTTTGGTTGTTGAGATGTCATGAAGTTTTGACTGGAAATTTATGTGGCGGTTGCAGAATGTGGACTGTACCAGAAAGTAAAGGTATCACACGAAGAACAGCTATGGAAGAAGAAAAATTAAATTTAGTTTCAGAGGGCTGCAATCCGAAATCTGTAATGTTTCATCTCTAACTTAATTTTGTATCATCGCGAGATTTGTTATTCGCTAATGTATTAAAATTTGTATATCAGGTTCCTCATCTGAAGTTTTCTTTTATGTTTATCTGATTTGGTTCTTTTAGTTGAATCAGAAGGAGGTGAAGCGCGAAGATAAGGACATTTTCGGGGAGGTTTATAAGACTCATAATGCTATACAGTAAGTTATGATTTTCTGACAAGAACATAATGTTTCGCGATTTTGGTTGATTTCTGAGTTTTCTGATCAAAAACTTTATGTTGTGTGTTGAAATAGAACATTAGATAAGACTATTTCAAATTTAGAGATGGAATTAGCTGCAGCAAGGGCAACACAGGAGTCGATACGTAGTGGCTCTCCTTTATCAGGTGACTTGAAGGCTGATTCAACAGCGAAGAGAAGGTATCTGATGGTTGTTGGAATTAATACTGCTTTTAGCAGCCGGAAAAGAAGAGATTCAGTTCGTGCTACGTGGATGCCACAAGGTACATAATTTGATTCCTTAATTCCTTCTTTGTTTTCTATTGGATTTGTTTACATCTGTCGTCTGATTGCTTTTGCTTATGCAAAACATGAATTATAGGCGAGAAACGAAAGAGACTAGAGGAAGAGAAGGGTATCATCATTCGCTTTGTCATTGGTCATAGGTCAGTATTTAATCTTCGTTCTTGCTAATTAATGTCAAATAGGAGGGGGCCTTATCATCCTTTGCATGCGATATATTACCTTTTGTGGTCTGCTAGAATGTAATTCGTCGCAGATGTAGTTTAAGTCATTGATCTGCTAGGCTGCAGTTCATGCATTGGTTCCCATTCAGTTATAGCTGATGGAAGCCAAGACTATGTTTCCCCCATTTACAATTTATCACAACTCCGTGTCCTTGAACACCCTTATTTCATAAACAGCATGAAATGCTAGTGTAGGTAATTGAAAGATATCCATGTAATGACAAAAAAAAAAAAAAAATCTTTCTTAGAGTCTAAGATCAGTGTTCGTGGGTTGTACTTGTACATGTACAGAGTGACAGTACATTCTCTATTTCTTTCTCTCCAGGTAAAAGAACTTTCAAGCCTCCATAATCTAGATGCCTTGCTAGGTTCAACTAATTTGCACTTAAAATTCCTAGGTCATGGGATTATTTGGATAATTGAATTTACAAGTTGTTTCTGTTCCTTGTCAAGTGCCACATCAGGAGGTATTCTAGATAGAGCTGTTGAAGCAGAGGACAGAAAGCATGGAGATATCCTGAAGCTGGTAATGTCTTTTAGTCGTTCTTCTGTTGTTATTGTCCTCTTCGTTCCACATGTGTATGCTTGCAGCTCACTTGAGTCTTGAGCATAACATGTTCATCTCTATGCCTCTTTCGCAGGACCATGTTGAAGGGTATCTCGAATTGTCGGCCAAGACAAAGATTTATTTTGCTACTGCTGTTGCTACGTGGGATGCAGATTTTTATGTCAAAGTTGACGATGATGTCCACGTAAATATTGGTAATTTAAGATTTACTTTGCAATGATAAACATTTTTCATACGATACTGTTGTGCACGATGACATAAAAAGTGAAAGAACTAGGTTTCTTTTCCATTTGAGAAACATATGGATTCAATACAAGCTTTACAAAATCGCAAGTATAGTTCAAACTACTTAGGTTCTTCACCCTTTGTGAAAACCTCTTATGTTCATTTTAAGCTTACAAGATCTTACCGGCGGCCAACTTGGGTGTACCTAGACTTGGTAGAGCAATTTATTAGTCTCGCTGAACCTATCTTTTCAATTTTCTGCAGCGACGCTAGGAGAAACACTAGTCAGACACCGAAAGAAAAAGCGCCTGTACATTGGATGCATGAAATCTGGTCCTGTTCTAGCACAAAAGTAAGCCAGTACTGATAATTGTTTATTTTATTTCTTGTTTTTCCTTCTGTGTTCAGATAGTTTTTAAGAAAGCAAACTGACTTTGAGTTCTTGAATATTTGATCATACAGGGGAGTGCGATACCATGAACCTGAGTATTGGAAATTTGGTGAGCCAGGAAACAAGTACTTCCGTCATGCTACAGGACAGCTGTATGCGATATCAAAAGATTTGGCTACGTATATATCAATAAACCAGTAAGTTTCCGACTTTATGTGAGGATAGATTTTGAAATACATAAAAGTTTGTTTTTCTCTTCTTGCACTTGTGGTGCTCATTTGTATGCATCTGTCAGGCATGTCCTACACAAGTACGCTAATGAGGATGTCTCATTGGGATCTTGGTTTATTGGACTCGATGTACAGCATATTGATGATCGGAGACTATGTTGCGGCACCCCACCCGGTAAGTCTTCCTCCTCGTTCAAAATTACCATGGTAGTAATGATTCGAAAACAAAATGGCTTAGTTTGTGCAGATTTATATGAAAAAGCAGTAAAAAATATACATGCTAATTCTATTATCTGCTCATTTTCTAGAGGGTAAACAACTATTTGGTTAATTTGTGAAAAATAAGAGTGGCCTATTTGTTACATTCTAGGATTCGTTAATTCTAATGCAGACTTGTTTGCTGCAGATTGTGAGTGGAAGGCGCAGGCGGGCAACATCTGTGTTGCTTCATTTGATTGGAGCTGCAGTGGGATTTGTAAGTCAGCCGAGAGAATCAAGGAAGTCCACCGCCGGTGCGGGGAAGGCGAAAACGCCTTGTGGAGTGCTAGATTCGAATAGGCAGCTCGAACCTCTTCCAACTTCGGGAAGATTTTCGAGCTTAAGTATAAAGCCAGATGTTTTTTCTTAGTTCATTTTTCTCCTCCTGTATTGAGTATAGAGAATTACAACACCAAAAAATAGAGTTTAGAGAGAGAGTGTGCGTGCGTGCGTGCTTGCGTGCGTGCGTGTGTGTGAGAGAGAGAGAGAGAGAGAGAGAGGTTGCTGTGTGGACCATCTCCATTTTAGTAGAGGATATTGGCCACAAAGCAGCTGCTAAATTGAAAATAGAGGGGTCCCCAACCCATACAATTCTGAGAGGCTTGAAGAGCCAAACTGTAAGTTACAGTTCTTCTTCTATGCCTACAGTAACAAATGCAACAATAAATATGCAAATCTTTGTGGGAGCTTTTACAGCCTTTCTTGTACAATCTTGTTTCCCCTTGGTATATGCATATGAACATACATATTATTTTGCATTGATGTCTTTCCCAGTTATCTTGTAACTCATCTGACACCATCCGTGGTTCCACCGCCTCTTGTTTTTGTAAGTCTCTTGCATGTCGCCTACAGATATGTATATCGCCGTGTGAGGTAGAGCACCTCACACGGTGGGAATATACATCTCTTGTGACACCCTAGTGTGTCTCTCTTTGTTCTGGGCAAAATATTACTTGCAATAGTTGTAATGTCTCTTTTATCTTTCTCATCATATGATCAAGTCGGGAATAAACCCCTTCTCTAATTCAAATTTACATAAAAATATCAGACTTCCAAAACAAAACCGAACAGGACACACGAAGGACTAATTAGTCCGGCAGTCTCTTTGCAAGTTGCCACACCCTTGAAATGTCGCTCTCATGCCTATCTTCTATGGTCAATTGATGCTTCTAATTTTCTTTTTCTATAAGGTCAAAAAGATCAATCTTTCTTTGGATGCTAAGGCCATCTCCAACCGAAGGGTCCAGATGACCGAAAATAATCCGAAAATCGTCTCAAACTAAAGGTTAGACTAAAGGGCTCGTGGGCCCCACAGGACAAAAAAGGGCCAACTGGCTGGCCCAACCAGCCAGCCAGCCCCGGGCCGGGCCACAATTTCAAACACAACAGCTAGCTAACATCAGTTACTGTTGGATTTGAAATTTTTTTTTTTTTGGCAAAATTTTTTTTTTCGAATTTTGAAAAATTCTCATTTTTTCCTATAAATACCTAAAGCCATTCCTGCACCATTTGTCACATAATTTTCACCATTCCTACACCATTTCAATTCTCATATTTTCTTACCTCTTCCAATAATCTTTCCTTCAATTTTTTCAATAATTTTCAAATGGCCTCATCTGCAATAAAAAGTAGGGCTTGGACCCGAAAAGAAGATGAAGTTCTTTGTAGGGCTTATAGATGGGTCTCGGAAGACAGCGTGAGGGGAACTTCTCAAACAAGTGAAGGGGTTTGGACTTGTATGTTCAAAAAATACTATGAGTTCTATGAATGCACTACTCCATCGAATACCCGAAACCATGAGAGTTGTTCTTCAAGATGGAAGAAACATCTTCATCCAAGTTTGAATAAATGACATCAAGCACTGTTAGCAGTCGCAAGTAGACATGAAAGCGGCGCCAATTACTACAACGAAGTAAGTGTTTTCACAATTTATTTTAAATATTTAATTATATTACATTTAATTTCATAAATTAATTTCCTTCAATTTTTGTAATTATATTTTTTAGGTACGCCAAGCGGAGAAATTGTATATGGAGGGCAGCTCGAAACCCTTTCAGTTTCACGGTTGTTGGGAAATTTGTAAAGAATGGGTGCTATTTGAAGATCCACCTCAACATAGAGTAGGTCCTACGCCAATGTTTGGAACTGCATCCTCAGCTGTGGATGGGGATGAAGATGGATCTCTTACCATTCAAGAAACAAGGGTAGAAAATCCGTCTTCGGGAGAAGGTTTCATACCTAGGGCTATGGGACGAAGCAAGGCCCGAAGGTTGAAGGAAAATGGCAGGCAAAGGATGATTATGCTGCTCAACAGGAAAAGGCAGCCTCATTGCGATTAATGGCGCAACAAAATGCCATTGCCGCAGAAGAAATGAACCGTAGACATGAAGAACGGGCCAAACAAATACAAGAAGAGATGGATGATAGGAATATGCAAATGAATACTTCGGATTACACTCCAATGCCTCCGATTATACTCCTACAATGGCGGATGATGAGAATGATGTTGATTATGGACTTTAAATTTAAGTTGTTGTAGTTTTTAAATTTTAGTTGTAGTTTTTAAATATAAGTTGTAGTTTTTAAATTTAAGTTGTTGTAGTTTTTAAATTTTAGTTGTAGTTTTTAATATAAGTTGTAGTTTTTAGATTTTAGTTGTAGTTTTTAAATATAAGTTGTAATTTTTAAATTTAAGTTGTTGTAGTTTTTAAATTTAAATAATAAATTATATTTGGCCCCATGACCCTTTGGCCTTCGGTTGGAAATGATTTTTTGTCACAAGGCTATGTTTGGTCCTATAACCCTTTGGCCTTGGGTTGGAGATAGTAAGAAATATGACCCTGCACTGTTTATTAAAATATTAATTTCTTGGAGGCCTTCCTTCGGTTGAAGATGGCCTAATTAAGAAAAAGACAGAAAATGAAAACGACTTCATTTGCATCATTACTAGAATTAGCAATCACCCTCGCCATGATTTTACAATAGGAATTTTCTAGTATGCACATACAACATGATTCATGACGGTTAAATTCTTGGTTGTTGGATTTTTGGCTGGACATCGATTTTTCTAATATGCACATGCAACGGGATTCGCGGCAGTTAGATTCTTGGTTGTTGGGTTTTTGGCTGGACATCAAGCCCATCAGTCCTCTGATACATATCATACATTGGAGCATAATAGAATTATTTTTACAGTACAAGAGTTTTTCTTTAACCAAAACCAATTGTATTCCAAACTAACAAAACAGAAGGCAAAAAGTACAGTTCTTTTCTTCATTAGAAAGTTAGAAACTACTTAAGACGTCTTCCAAAATTACAGCTAGTTATGCCTACATACAAAAAAGCAAAGAAAACTTTACCACAAGAGTAAAAGTACATAGAGAACTTTACCACAACGAGACAGAACAGCAGATATGCCTTTATTTTACTGCCACACCAAGAATCATCTATTGGCAATATGCATTTTCTTGCACATGGGATGCAGAATAATGTGTTGAATTAAATGCCATATGCATAACAAAAATGGCATCATGTATACAAAACTAGTAAAATGTAACATCTAGCGCACAAGATTTCAATTAACCTAACTATGAACGTACAAAGCCAATCCAAGACATTGGTTTTAAGGATATGTATGTGTGTGTGTACGTATATAGGCTTTCTCATGCACATTGACCTATGGAGAAAATGGCAACTCATCCAAAATTCATTATATCAAAATACAATTGAATGGCTGTGCACGATAAACGTTCCCATCTCCCTCGATCATCGCAAAGTTAAGAGCCTTGTTGGCTTGGAGTCAGTCCTTTATTTACAATTGAATTCTTTTGGTTAAAGGTATGAGAGGAACCCAACAAAATTTGCCTACATACAATAAAGTGGTCAAGCATTTGTTCTAATACCAACATTCAAATTTCTGAGAGTTGCTGCAGGCCAGTAAGCCAGTGAGAAAATATTAGCAATGAAAGAAAGTCTTGTTTTTTTCTTAAGGAACTGTTGTCAGTACTTTAAAAACATCATTCTGTAGTCTAATTTTGTAAAAACATACAAAATAGTGCATGATTACATTTTTAGAATGCAAATAACAACCCGCTTCTTCAAATGCAATATAAATCTTGGAGAATGTGACTAGTTGATCAATCGACACAACACAACCATTCGACCGACCACTAACATTCCATGACTATCTCAACAGTTCCCCTGCATTGGGGAATTTCCAAAGAAAGTACAGCGTCTTATGGTGTATTAACAAGCTTAGAACTTGGAGAAACTTTTGTTGAGCAAAGTTCAAGAATAACCCTAATTTATGTCAAGATGAATACTGAAAACTAACAAAATAGAAATGATAAAGTGTATACCTTTACATTGGGATTAGGGCAAACGGTAGAATATACGATAAAAAGGAACAGTGGCACGTGATATTGGCACGGCTCAATCAAAAAGCAGAGCTCAAGCACTTTTAGAGCACTGTTTTCTTATTGAACCGGACCAATATCCCGTTCAAACTGATCCCAATCCAATCCTTCTCTTTCTTTGCCTTCCATTCCATGAATCTGTACACAAAATAGGCTACAATACAAACAAACCCGTTTCATCTTTACACAAAACAAAACACAAAGTGAAAACGAAAGGGTAATGATTTTCGCACTTATGTTTTCTCCTTATGCACTCTTCACCTTGTTTCGGTTCCGTAGAAAAAAGGGCTGAGTATAGAACAAGAAACGAAAGCGAAAATCACTTCCCCAAGAAAAAGATTGGAAGCAAAAACGATATGAACTTACATTATGCATTACAAAACCAACAAAATAAAGTGTTAAATTTGTGTTGAAATAAAACAAATAAAGAACAAAAATTGGGTTGTGGAAATTGATACGAGCTTGGAACAAGAACTGACAGAGATATTTGAAAGGAGAAGAAGGAGGCAATTTGGAAATGGGGCAATGGGCGGAGAGAACAACTTAAACATATTAATAAGGCAGATCTGAGCAGAAAGAGTTAGAGAGAGAGAGAGAGAGAGATGAATGTATGTCTCTTTAAGAAGGTAATGCCCAACAAAGAGAGATGGCTACTAGTTACTGGTGATGGTAGCATTGAAGAAGTTGCATTAAAATTTCCAACCACCTTGCAACAAAGGAAGTTGGGAATATTAATTTTGAACAAGGTACAAGAATCTTTGAAGAAAAAGAAAGCAAAAAATAAAAAATAAAAACAGGTTCACGGACACAAACCTGGGGCTTTTAATGTGAGCATTTATGGATAATGGAGTAGGGGAAGAAGAGATGTTCGTTCTGTTCAATCCGCATTTATGTTATTTTGTATCGAATAGATAGAACCTTTGTTTTTTTTCGGAATGGTTTGGTTTGGTTTGGTTTCCGCCTCGTAGGTTTTTTCTTATTCAATTCAAAAACTCTTTCACCGCTACCACTGCATATTTTTCTTCGAGTGTTTTTAGAGGTCTCTACAATATGGGGGCATTGATTAACTTTGTGGGCACTAGCTAGGTAGTAGAGTTGTCCTATATACATGTGACATGCCAATGATGCCATACGTTTTACGTTTAGGTTGCAGCATTGGAAGTTGAAATTTGAAACCCTAATTCTAATTGTCAATTCGTGCCCTCATTTTGGTGAAGGACCGTTCGGCTTTGGCGTTTGGAAATGGAAACCCAGTACTTGATGATAAGGTACTCGGTTAGCATTAGACCTCGTTT